CACCCCGCCGCCAGCGCCGCCCTGCGGCTCCAGGGCCACCACCTCCTCGTGCTCCGGCCCCAGGGGGGGGAACCCGCCCTGGTACTGCAGCAGCTGCAGGGAGGCCTGCTGGCCGGCGCCGGGGCCCTCGGCCGGGGAGCCCCCGTTGCAGCTGGAGGCCGCGTGCTGGCTCTGGTGGCCGTGGTGGTGGTGGAGGTGCCCGTTGTTGCCGCCGCTGCCCGGCGACTCCGTCTTGACCACCTGCAGGCCCAGGAAGGCGGCGCCGGAGTCGTGGGAGTTCTGGTCCAGCAGGTGGGTCTTCTGCGCGGCGCCCGGCTGACTGCTGGACTGCGGGGGGGGCGGGGGGGGCTCCTGTAGGAAGAAGCTGGGCGAGCGGCTCTGATGGGCCAGGTGGGGGCTGGACATGGCCTGCCCGTACCCCCCGGACACCGAGGACGAGGAGTAGTCCTGCTTGGCGTCAATGGCGCTGAAGTCCATCTGCTCCAGGGTGGTGCTGGGGCTGAGCCCGCCCCCGGAGGGCAGCAGGGAGCTGGCAGGCGTGAGGGTGAGGGAGCCCTGTGCCGATCCAGGGCCCGCGGAGCCCGGGCCGCCCCCTGCGCCGCTCACGACCGACCCCACCTGGTAGCTCGCTTCCTTGGCCAGCTGCTGCTCGAAGGAGGTGTCCTCCGTCTTGATCTCCGTCTTGACCAGTGAGGTGCCGAAGCCGTACCCGGAGTCGGAGACGGGAGGGGAGCGCCGCAGTCCGCCGTTGCTGCTGCTGCTGCTGCTGCTGGGACCCACCGAGGAGGAGGACGAGGTGCCAGAGGAGCCCGCCTCGCCCTTCAGCCCGCTGCCCCCGTAGGTCTGGCCCTGCTTGGGGTTGTTGAGGAAGCAGTCTGGATCAAAGTTCACGGTGGTCTCGGGCAGCTTGATGCCGCTGGAATCCAGGCTGCTGGAAAGGACCAGCTCCTCGGACACCCCGGGGGCCGACAGCATCGCCAGCCCCTCGGAGGCCCCCGCGCCCCCGCTGCCCCCCGCGCCCGACCCGGGGAAGGCAAACTTGTGGCTGTCGGAGGTCACAGCGAGGACCAGGCCCTGGGAGGCGGCGTCCGGCCCCATCAGGTGGGCGTTGGGGCCCCCCGTGGGAGACATGCTGTAGATCGGGTCTCCGGTCACCTCCGACATGAACACGGCTGCGCTCTGCGAGAGGCTGCTCATCACCGAGGCCACGTGGCTCATCCCCGTCACCACTGGGCTGTCGGCCATGTCCGGGTCGCTGTTCAGGCCGCTGCTGATGGACACGGGGGAGTTCTGCGTGGTGTCGGGCACCTCCACTTGGTTGGTGGACGAGACCTCGGTGCTGTTCTGGTGCAGCAGCACGGGCTTCGGCACTTTGCCGTTGCGCTTCTCCCGGGCGCCGCCCCCTCCGCCGGCCCCGCCCCCCTTGCCCCCGCCCCCTCCGTGGCTGTGCTCGTTCTTGCCCTCCGACACGTCGTTGTTCTGCACCTCGGAGTGGGCGCTGCTGTAGCCCGCGCCCGCCCGCGGCTCCACCTTGGGAGAGATGATGCGGTGCTTGGCGCTGTTGCACTTGTGGTGCACGCTGCTCCCGGCACCTAAGGGGGAGAGACAGAGGGGGGGGGGGCGAGGGAGAGTTAGCGTCACGGTTTAAAGGGCTCGCTCCATTCGGCGCTCAACTAGAAATCCCCAAGCTGCCAAGTCCAGGATAAAACTTCTTGGCCGCACGACTGCGTTTCCCGCAGGGGACAAGCGTTCACAACAGAGTTCTGCATAAAAAACGAACAAATCCGCAAATACTGGAACATAAGAAACATCGAAACATTACATGTAGGAGGAGGCCAACTGGCCCATCTTGTTTGTTTGATTCCAACGGTTTGTTGATCCAAGAATCCCGTCATATTGTGGATGGATGGAAAACAGGTGGATCTTATTTTCACAGCAGTAAAAACAAATTATACAATGTTTACATGATGTTTGTCTCTCGGCCTCTCTGACTAAAACGGCTTGGAAGAGTTTCACACTCCTGAGGATTGGACAAGAAACCTGTTTGGCCCGGTAACTGTGTGCTGAACTCGTTTTGGGCCTACTTGGCAGAGGAGAAACTTCACAATTCATCAGATTATTGAGGATGCTTGTGCTGTTGAGAACTGACATTCAAATTACAGTATATTATGAACGTACCACACGACTACTCCAGCTCTTACTCAGAGCTATATACTCCTATATATGACTATACTCCAGCTCTTACTTAGAGCTATATGTTCCTATATATGACCATACTCCAGCTCTTAATCAGAGCTACTCCTATAAATGACTATACTCCAGCTCATACTCAGAGCTATACACTCCTATATATGACCATACTCCAGCTCTTAATCAGAGCTGTATACTCCT